TTAAAAAAAAAAAAAAAACATGCTAAGTGAAAGAAGCCAGAGACAAAAGACCATGTATTATAGGATTCCGTGTATACGAAATGTCAGGAATAAGCATTTTGTAGACAGAAAGTAGATTAATGGTTGCTTAGCACCAGTTAGGATTGGTAGGGGTTATGGAAAATGTACAGCATTTTTTAAGGCGATGAAATTGTTCTAAGATTGACTAGCGATGACAGAACTTACCTGTGAATACAGTAAAAAAAACACTGAATTCTATACTTTAAATGGGTGAATTGTATGCTGTGTGAATCATATATCAATAAAGCTGTTACCAAAACCAAACTGAACCAAAAAAACCCAAAGGTGCCCCATGTGAAAATATAGCACAGAAAAGTTCCTGACTACTTAGGGAGGGAATAATTGAATACCTCACATGTCTCCTTGGATAGCGGGAAAATTCTAGGAGAGTGGGAAGACAGTACTACAGAAAGCAGAAATATATGTACAGCATACGTAGTACACAGATGTTCCATATAGCACTGTTTATAAAGGGGGAATATGGAAGCAACAGGGGACTGGCTAGACCATGAAAAACCCATACAAAATATGAAGCAAGACCATACGAAGAAAGTACACGAGAAAGGTGGAGAAGGCTATGAGCCAGCACTAAAGGTTCGGTAGCCTCTGGGGAAAGGTAATTTCACTTTTCACTCTATAAATTCTGTATTTTTCATGATAACCATATATGCTTATACTGAGTATTAAAGTAAATTTTTTATTAGAAGAAAAATGTAGAAACAGAAGACTCCACCTTTAATTCTCCTGAAGGCTGGGCACACTGGCCATAAAAACTTGCCCAACTACACGAAACGAGTTTTTATCGCCCCAGGTTGGTATCAGGGCTGTCAACGATATCTCCCTCAAAATAATTAAATATTATAGGGCAAAGATCCAGTGGGCCTGGAAAATAATCTTTCTGATTTGATCATGAGCCCACCTGTTTTCAGCAAAGACAAGCCAGTGTTTAAAGATTCATTCAGAGGCGCCTGGGTGGCTCAGTCGTTAAGTGTCTGCCTTCGGCTCAGGTCATGATCCCAGGGTCCTGGGATGGAGCCCCAAATTGGGCTCCCTGCTCTGTGGGAAGCCTGCTTCTCCCTCTCCCACTCCCCCTGCTTGTGTTCCTTCTCTCGCTGTCTCTTTCTCTGTCAAATAAAGAAATCTTTAAAAAAAAAGATTCATTCATTTGAGAGAAAGAGAGAGAGAGAGCAGCTGGGAAGGGTAGAGGGAGAGAGAGAATCAGGCTTCCCGCTGAGCAGGGAGCCTGATGCAGGACTCGATTCCATGACCCCGGGATCATAACCTGAGCCAAAGGCAGACCCTTAACCGAATGAGCCACCCAGGTGCCCTGACAAGCTAGTGTTTAATCTCTCTGGCTATTCTCCTTTCATCACATATAGTCTACTGAACATTTATGATCAAGTGCATCTAAGTGTCCCACAATTTTTCCTATAAGGAGGTTATGGTATGTAGAGATCCACAAAGAGAAACTTCTCTTGTGGGATGTCATCTACAGAAATGGGGCTAACAGCAGTTATGGGAATCTGATCCCACTTTTCTTTCACTAGTGACCTTGGGTTAGTCACTGAATTTCTTTCCTCCTCGTATGCTTTATATAGCTTCCATTTCTTCTTTTGCATGGTGGACATTTTAATACCCACCTGGCAGTCCCTCTCAATTGCTCTGAGGAAAACATAAGCTCAGAGATGTAAAAACCACTTTTTCAAAATCAAATGCAGTGGACAAATTCAAAGCTTTGTACGTTTGGAAAAGCAAAAGCTCAATGACATGGCATTTTAAGGCCAGCAACTTTCAGAAAGATTTCTTTAGGGGCACCTGGTGGTTAAGCATCTGCCTTCGGCTCAGGTCATGATCCCAGGGTCCTGGGATCGAGCCCCACGTCAGGCTCCCTGCTCGGCGGGAAGCCTGCTTCTCCCTCTCCCTCTGCCTGCCGCTCCCCCTGCTTATGCTCTCTCTGTCAAATAAATAAAATCTAAAAAAAAAAAAAAGATTTTAAAAATATATTTGTATTTTTTAAACATCTAAAGGAGTGCTTCTTTTTTTTTTCTTTTTCTTAAATAGGCTCCAGATCCCACATGAGCTCAAACTCCCGACCCTGAGATCAAGAGTCACATGCCCCACCCACCGAGCCCAGTCAGGCACCCATCCAAAGGAGTGGTTCTTAACCAGGGGCAATTCTGTCCCCCAGGAAACATGTGGCAATGTCTGGAGACATTTCTGATTGTCACAACTATGGCTGCTATGGGCATCTAGAGGGCAGAGGCCAGGGATGCTGCTAAACTTCCTACAGCATGGGGCACCTGGGTGGCTCAGCCGTTAAGCGTCTGCCTTCGGCTCAGGTCATGATCCCAGGGTCCTGGGATTGAGTCCTGCATCAGGCTCCCTGCTCGGCGAGGAGCCTGCTTCTCCTTCTCCCACTCCCCCTGTTTGTGTTCCTGCTCTCGCTGTGTCTCTCTCTGTCAAATAAATAAATAAAATCTTTAAAAAAAAAACAACAGACTTTGGATTTTGGGGAATGTATATGGACGTGTACAAATGTGGTGTGCACACACACATATGAGCACGTATCTGTATGATGCATGTCTTTGTGTGTGATTTCTGGGAGGAAGAGCCATGGCTTTCAGCCGGGTGGTCTGGGGCCCCGACATGTAAGGTTTTACAATGTCTGAGAAATTAAATAAATTCTCTCTGTGTTTATTTCCACTGAAACTTCTTTCTTTGGGGGAACTCAGTATTTTGTTTCAAGTCAGTACAAAGGGGGCAGGGACTAAGGAATGGCCAGTGGCTGAAGCCTGTTTCCTATATGTTCTAGCAGCGGGTGGGTGAACATTATCCTTGCTGATGAGGTCACTGCAAATCCTGTTCCTTTTACTAGTATTTGTGTCAACTCTTGTGCCTGGCTCTCACCACAGACATTCAGGAGTCTGATCTTTAAATTAACCTATTTGCAGCCTATCGAGGGTCCAAATGTGGAATTATGTTAAATACTTACAGTGCCAGAGAGCAAGTCTATGACATAACTATAAAAGTAAATGAGTCCAGAGCTACTTATTGGATATACTGTGCATTGGACATCTGTAAAAAACAAAAACAAGAACATCAGTGGAAAAGTTTTACAGTTGCTACAACTTGTCTATCATAATTTGTGTATATAGGCATGCACATGTATATACATTTAGAGATGTCACATCTAATTATGTATGGACGTTGTGAATTTGTGGTTTTCTATTTGCAGTGCAAACCCCAATAGAGCAAGTACAGCAGCATTTTCTCCTCTCGCTATTCTCCCTACACATCTATTGATATATGTCTTTTTCTATATATTTTGTATGTGGGTCTAGTTACAGTGCACATTTTCTGTCTGTATGGGTATTTTGTGGTTTGGGGTTCATGTTTGCACATGTTTTGGAAGATGTGATTGATATAACTGTGATTCCACTGTAAGTACGACCAATTTTAAAAGATCTCTACATGTGTATAAATAAACACGCAGCTTCATTAAGACAACCTATATATTTACCTAGGCATAAATAACCAAGAAATCATTTGAATACCAATTTTAATGACACTACCTTATCCTTGAACAGCTAATTCACTTTCCCTGTATCAGTGAGCTATTACTGCATAACAAAGAACCACAAAGTCTCAGTGACTGAACATACCAAACGTTTATTTTCTCATTCATGGAGCTGCAATTTGAGTTCATTGAGCTGATTTAGGCTGAGCTAGGATGGATCCCACACTTCCAGTTGGGCTCAGGTCTGCACCATATGACTTCATTCTGGGACCCAGGCTGAGGCAATGGTTATCTGGTGATGCTCTTCTCATGGGCAAGCCAACCACACAAGCCATTTCAGGCTAATACTCCATTGGACAAAACCAGCCACATGGCCAAGTGCAATACCAATGGGGAAGAAAGTATCCTCTGCCCACAGTGGGAGGCCTTACAAGTCACAATTACAGGGGAGTGACAAATCGAGAAAAACAACCCAATCTACCACCCCTACTCTGGGCCTTAGTTTCCTATGTTCCTTTGCTAAAGAAGGGAGTTGAACCAGTTTCTCCAAGACCAATTCCAGTTCTGCCATTTTATAATTCTCACATAAGTCAGCCTCTGACTCAGCTCGCCTACTTCTGGCCCCTAGCACAGAGCTTGGTACCTAGAAGGGAATCAATAAATGTTTGTAGAATGACAGAAACTCTCCCTGTTTGACAACGCAGGATGCCCAAAAGATGGGACCTATGTTGAGAATTATGGCACTTGCCATTATGTCTGGCACATGACTGGTGGAGGCCAGTTTATCTCATCATCAGAGATAAACGTCTCAAAGTAAAGTTACTGGAGTTGGAGTAGGTGATATCATATGTGCTAAATTTTCCACTTTCTTAGCCCACAGTGCTCCTCCCAAATGCCTTGCGGAAATCAGGAGGGGCCAAGTGACTTGCTTTGGGTAATGAGATGTGGCAGAAATGAAAGGTGTCATTCCAGGCAGGAGTTTTAGGAGCCAGTATGTTCGCACGGGCTCTTTTTCTTTTGGACGTAGTGACCATCAGTGGTCCAGAGAGAGTCTGCTCCATCAGCCTGGGCTCCAGAGTGAAGACAGTATGGAACAAAGCCACCACCAAACAGTGATGGACATGTACTAGGAGTGAGAAAGAACCTTTTGTGGTTATTAGGTGCTAAGAGTTATGGGGTCATTTGTTTCTGCAGCATAACTGAGCCCATCCTGATGCAGGCACCCGCAACTTAGAATACAAAGATTTCCAGAGAAGGAAGCACTGTAGATACGTACAGAGTGACAAGAACATTCTCACAGCAAACCAGGCCTTAGACTCACCCGTGTCTTTGGACGGAATGAGCACAAAAGTGCTGTTGGTGATGTTGTACTTGGTGAGCAAGACTGGGAGCAAAACCAGCATAAAGATGATCAGAAATATCACCAAATTCAGCAACACCAGAAACCGCAAGAAGGAGAAATAGGACTGAATCCCAGTGCCAAATTTCCCTGGAAAAAAGAAATCCAGACATCAGTGACCAAGAGTATTGACCTACACATGCGTTACCCACAGTAGATCCAATCAGCCAGAAAGCTGAAGTTGGAGTGATCTTGGTGGGGGAAGGAGGAAGAAATATTTTGTTTTTCTACTGTTGGCTTTAAGGTTCTCCTTTCTAAATCTACACTCGAGGGGCGCTTGGGTGGCTCAGTCGGTTAAGCGACTGCCTTCAGCTCAGGTCATGATCCCAGGGTCCTGGGATCGAGCCCCGCATCAGGCTCCCTGCTCGGCGGGAAGCCTGCTTCTCCCTCTCCCACTCCCCCTGCTTGTGTTCCCTCTCTCGCTGTCTCTCTCTGTGTCAAATAAATAAATAAAATCTTTAAAAAAAATAAATAAATAAATAAAAATAAATAAATAAATAAATAAATCTACACTCGATCTTGAATTAACTACTTGACAATGGTGTGAGGCAGGACTCAATATTCATCTTTCCTTATATGAATATCGAATTGACTCAGTACCATTTACTGAAAAGACTACCCTTTCCCCACTGAATTGCAGCAGTGCTTTTGTAACTGAGCCTAAATGTATGAATCTCTTCCTGAATTCTCACAAGCCACGTTCTGAACAAAACCTCCAGAAAGGCCACCACTAAACGAGAAAGGAAGCTGGGGCATGGTGGCTGAACCCCTGGGCTTGGAAGCTTGACGGCCTGGATCAAATCCTTCAAATCCTGGGTCTGCTTCATCCTAGCTGAGGGTACTTTGGAAAAGTATTTTAACCTCTCTGAGCCATGCAAATGATACCTATATGAAATGTTCAATATGAGGAAAATGTTTAACACAATGCCCCGCTCACAGTAAAAGCTCAATCGGGGGGCGTCTGGGTGGCTCATTTGTTAAGTGTCTGCCTTCAGCTCAGGTCATGATCCCAGGGTCCTGGGATCGAGCCCTGCATTGGGCTCTCTGCTCCGTGGGGAGCCTGCTTCTCCCTCTCCCACTCCCATTACTTGTGTTCCCTCTCTCGCTGTGTCTCTGTCAAATAAATAAATAAAATCTTTTTTAAAAAAAAAAAGCTCAATCGGGGTTAGCCTTTATTATTTGGCTCCAAACACGATGCTGTGCTCAGAACTCAGAAAAAGTACAACTAGATGGTTAAGTTTTTTTTTTTAAAGATTTTATTTATTTATTTGACAGAGAGAGACACAGAGAGAGAGGGAACACAAGCAGGGGGAGTGGGAGAAGCAGACTTCCTGCTGAGCAGGGAGCCCGACGCGGGGCTCGATCCCAGGACCCTGGGATCATGACCTGAGCCGAAGGCAGGCGCCCAACGACTGAGCCACCCAGGCGCCCCTAGATGGTTAAGTTTTAAGTGAGCCTATGAAGCCCCTTGTGATTGCATTTACATTCCCCCAATAAAACAACAATTTAAAAAGGTATTTCGTTGAATAAGTTATCAAGAGTATTTTATAGTTTTTTTTTCATAAAAATTTTATTTATTTATTTATTTGAGTGAGAGAGAGTGCGCGCATGAGTGGCGGGGAGGGACAGAGGGAGAGGGAGAAGCAGACTCCCTGCTGAGCAAGGAGCCTGATGCGGGACTTGACCCCAGGACCCTGAGATCATGACCTGAGCCGAAGGCAGACGCTTAACTGGCTGAGCCACCCAGGTGGCCCGAGTATTTTATAGGTCTTAAAATAGTAATAATGATAGCATTTCTTCCATTCACCCTGCCACATTCCCTACAAACTTGACAAAATCCCCACTTTAGCAGATTTGAGGAGTTGTTTGTAAATAGTTTTTGCTTTATGATAGAAACTGTCTTCCTAAGAGGTATTTCCCCCCAGCTCTGCTATGTCATCCAAATGTTCCAATGTTTTTTCCTAATTTTATATTTTGGCACAACTTCCAGTTTCTATATACTCGCTATGGACTGAATTGTATCCTCCGCTCCCCACCCCCTACCCCAAATTCACATGCTGAAGCACTAACCCCTAATGTGATGGTCTTTTGAGGTGGGGACTTTGGGAGGTGATTAGGTTTAGATGAGGTCATAAGAGTGGGTCCCCATGATGGGATTTAGTGGCCTTACCAGAAGAGGCATCAGAACTCGAGCCCCCCCCCCTCTCTTTCTCCCTCTTTCCCCAAGAGTGCACAAAGTTGAGGTCATGTAAAGACACAGTGAGAAGGCAGCCTGGCCTTGAACTTCCAGTCTCCAGAGTATAAGAAAATAAATTTTGGGACACCTGAGTGGCTCAGTCAGTTAAGTGTCTGCCTTCGGTGCAGGTCATGTTCCCAGGGTCCTGGAATCAAGCCCCACATTGCGGGAGGAGGTCCCCACTCAGCGGGGGGGTCTTGCTTCTTCCTCTCCCTCTCCCCTTCCCCCACTCATGTTCTCTCTCACTATCTCTCTCTCTCTCAAATAAATAAATAAAATCTTTAAAAAAAAAAATAAATGCACCAAATATTATATGTTAACTAGCTAGAATTTAAATTAAAAATTTGGAAAAAATAAATGGAATCATATATTTTGCATATATATGATAAATAAAATAAAATAAAATAAAATAAAATTGAATATAAAATGCACCAAATACAGGGGCACCTGGCTGGCTCAGCATGGGACTCTTGATCTCAGGGTTGTAAGTTCAAGCCCCATGTTGGGTGTAGAGATTAATTAAAAAATAAAATAAAATCTTAAAAATAAAAAAAATAAATGCACCAAATACAAATGGACATACGGTTATAATACTAAAAACCAAATTTGTGCTAGAATAATACACAAGCTTCTTCATTAGCACATTAAATAACAAGACCTAGTGGCCGATCTTACGGATTCCCTGCTGCAATTTCAAAGTAGTGATGAGCACAAGTGATATTCCAAGATAATACAACTGGAAGGAATAGGAAAATATCTGATTTTCCTGGGGACGAAGACACAGGTTCTGCTAATCCTAACTGGTGCCATTGCTCCCATTCGTCATGGAAGGAAGTGCTAAATTTCATCTACAGCTTAGAGGAAACGAAGCTGTATGTTCCCCCAGGCACAGAAGTCTTCCACAGAGAAGCATGTGCAGAGTGGGGGGTATGGTACCTTCTATGCTGCGAATGTCCTCCCGCCACAGCTCCAAGTGGGTGGTCATCTCACGAGCCTTCCCTATGAACCTCTTCCAAGACTTGCTGCTATACCGTTTCCACTGGTCCCACTCAGATAAATACTTCATTTGGGTCTCCTGAATGTTCCTGCATTAAAAAACAATCATGACAATGATCAGGAAAGTGTCATCAAGCCTCAGCATCAAATAAAACCCCAGCCGAGAGGATGTGGAAAACCTGGAGCCCTCATACACTGCTGGTGGAAATGTATAATGGTGTGGCCACTAGGAAAAACAGTCTGGATATTCCTCAACACGTTAAACACAGAATTAACCATTATGACTGGGCAATTCCACGCCTAGGGAGATACCCCCAAAGAACTGTAAACAGGGTCCCAAACAAAAACTTGTACATAAATGTTCATTACAGCACTATTCACAATAGCCAAAAGGTGGAAACAACTCAAATGTCCACCAACAGATGAACGGACAAACAGAACGAGGCATATCCATCCATACAATGAAATATCATTCAATCATAAAAAGGAATGACTATCATGTACTGATACATGCTGTAACTTGGATGAACCTTGAAAACATCATGCTAAGTGAAAGAAGCCAGTTATAAAAGGTCACATATTGTATGATTCCATTTACCTGAAATGTCCAGAATGGCAAATCTAGAGACAAAGAGTAGATCAGAGGTTGGCAGGGGCTGAGGGGAAGGGAAGCAGGGAGGGACTGCAGACAACAATTAGGTTCTGGGGGGGTTGCAGAGCCAGAAGATGGAAGGAGCCCGGGTCCCTGAATCACTGCAAAGTTCCCCCTTGATCTGAACCCAGGACTTTTATGTGAACAAGAAATAAACTTCTAATACATTGAGCTACTACATGTTTGGGTAACTTTGTTGCTGCAGCTTGGCTGACCCTAAGTAATACATTTCTAATTACGTGAACTCTTCAGGAAATGCATTCCATGCATAAAACACACCTCTGCCCAAAACATACATCAGATGCCTTCTAGATGGCCATCGAACAAACCTTAGCCTCCGCTTCTCAGAGATGTTCAGTGCATACTTCCGAATCGATTGGCTATTGAGGTTTTCGGTGATTCCTCCCTCCAGCTGGGAGCTGTAAGAGTCTGTCGGCTTCAGCAAAGTGCCACTTTGCTTGTCTCGGGAAAGAATGGTCGTCCTCCTGCGTGCAATGGACTGATAGCTTGGCAATTCTTGAAGGAAATTCACAGGTGGAGAAGAAAAGCCACTGGAGTCCAAAGAGAGGTTCTCTGGGCAAGAAAGAAAAAAAGAGAACCATCATTAACCACAGTGAGCTTGGGAGCCAGTAAAAAAAAAATCTTTTTTTTGCCTACCTAAATCATGCAGACGGTCACTTTTCTGCGCCCCTGACAAAATCATTTGTACCTTCATTATTCTATTTACCAGGATGGTGCTCAGGACAATGCCATCATCTGCAAATGGGTTCACTTTCAGCAGCTGCATGTGCAAATATGCTTTAGGTTACATGATATCTGACTTCTAGTGTTTGGATGCAGCCACCAGCTAAATGTGTGACCTCGGCCAGTTATCTAAACTCATCTACATTTGTCAGATGGGACTAGTACTATTTGCCCCAACTATCTTCCCAAAGTGTGGGCTATAATGATGTATAGGATAAAACTCCGAAAAGCATAAAGCATTATGCAAATGTATAATGATACCATCAACAGCAACAATAATAATAATAGCACTGACAGAGCACTTCCTGTGCACCAGGCACTGTGTTAAGAGCTTCACATGCACTCATGGATCTGAGCTGCCCGTGGGATCTGCTCGGACCAACAGAATGCAGTGGAAGTGATGCTGGCCAGTTCTAAGCCTTGCCAGCTTCGGCTGCTCTCTGGATCCCAGCTGCCGCCACGTAAACAAGCCCAAGCTGACTTGCGGAAGGATAAGACCATTGGAGCAGGGACAATCACCCCAGCTGAGACCATCGAGGCCAGCCTGCAGCCAGCTGTCACTCAGCTGACCGTAGATGCTCACACATACTGAGGTAGGTACTATTATCAGTCCCATTTTACAGATGAGAAAATAAAGTTGATGGGTTGCCCAACCCCATGCCCAGGTCCTAAAAGCTCTGCGTGGTTGGATTCTTGTCTGTGTCTGCAGTTCCTCAAGCTCTCTGCCCTCCAACCACGTATTTTTTAGGATCTTTCAGATATGAAGATGGGCCCTGTTTCCTCCTCCTCAGAGCCTTTGCATATGCTGTTCCCTCTGCCTGGAATGAACTTGCCACACCTATTTATCCTATTAGCTCCTACTCACACGTCACTTCCTCAGGGAAACCGCCCCTGCCCCACTGCACTATTACCGGTACCTTGTTACATTTCCCCCCACACACACCAAGTCCTTTACAGCGCATCACAATTTGTAAATAAATACATAATATTTGTAAATAAATGTATTTGTGTGACTGTGTGAGTACATCTGTCTCCTCCAGGAGACTGGAAATTCTCCAAAGGCAAGGACTGTGATGATGTCTTCACCACTGCACCCCAGGACCTCGCACCATCCTTGATTCAGAGAGGAATTCAATAAATGCTCATTGGATGGATGGATGGATGGATGGATGGATGGATGGATGGGAAGATGGATGTGTGGGTGGATGGATGGGAAGATGGATGGATGGATGGATGGATGGATGAATGGATGGATGACATTACTAATTAGCTTATGCTTAACCTGTGAGTGGGGGCGCTGAAAACAGAACCAGGTCTGCCTGACTCAAAAATCTGTATTTGCTCTACTACATCATGCCACTGCTGGAGGCCAAGTTTTGCTGAGCCTTATGCAGTGGTCTAAGAAGGAAGGGCCTTCCATTGAAGTTGAAGGACACTACCTTCAAGGTGGGTTTTATGCCTGATCCAATTTTAGTTGTGGAAAGACTACCTTGAATGGAGACAGGACACAGGGAGAGGAAGTAGGAAACAGTCATAATTACCTAAGTAGTTACCCCCATAGGCAGCAAAAGTTTTAAGACTTAATATTAGATGCTAAATTGCTTGGGTTTGAATCCTAGCTCTGTTGATAATTAGCGTGTGTGTCTTTGGGAAAGTTACTTAAACCTCTGAACTTCTTTAAGTTTCCTTATCTCAAATACTCATTCATTCAACAAATATATCCACCATGTGTCCGGTCTGGAGTTAGAGATACTGCCATGAACAAAACAAATGCCCTATTCACATGGCATTTATATTTTGAGGTGGGGGAGGGGAAGATTAGACAGTAAATAGGTGATGAATATTATGCCAGGAGGTGATAAGTGCAAAAACAAAAACAGAGTGGGGTAAGGAGACAGGTGATAGGCGGAGTGCACCGGTTCTGAGAAGGTGGGTCAGGTATGGTCTCTGTACTAAAGTAGCATTTAAGCTGAGCCTGAATAGAGGGCATGAGCCCTATGGATATTTGGGGAAGAGCATCCCAGGAGAGGGAAACAGCAAGTGCAAAGACCCTGAGGCAGGGGTGTGTACAGCATGCTTGAGGAAGAGCATGGAGGTCTATGTGGCTAGAGGAGACTGAATGAACAGGAGCCTCATAGGCTCTGTTGTTGCTGACCTCCAATGAGCCACACCAGCCCCTCTGCAGTCCCCTCGAATCTGGGCTGGATCTGTGACTTGCTTTAGCCAAGACTGCAACAGAAATGTTGCTCTGCCAATTCGAGCCTCAAGCCTTAAAAGGGCCTGCAAGTTCCCACTTTTGTGCTGTTGGGACCCCAAGGCTGACGTGTAAGAAGTCTGGCAATGTTGCTGGGACAACCATGTGGAGAGGAAGAGGCCCCAAGTGTCCAAGGAAGAGACCCAAGGAAACAGTGGACAGCGAGAACCAAAGTCTCTGGCTCTGACCCCAGTGAGCTCTTGCAGCCAGTCCCCAGCCCTTGGGTCATCCTCATGAAGTGCCCCCATGGGTACGAAGAGGCCTTCTGGAAGCTGCAGACCCAACAGACAGGACATGCAGCAGAGCAAACCATCTCTTCTGTGCCCTGCTGATTTCCCGGCGCACAGAGTCAGCAGAAACAATAAAACAGGGTAAGCCATCACGTTTGGAGTAGTGTGCTAACAACAATAGGTAACTGGGACAGGGAGCAAGGAAAAGCAGAGGTTAGAGAGGTGCCTGGGGCCAGACTGAGTCAGACTCTGTGGGCTGGGTATGACGCTTGGATGTGGCGGACTGAGGGCTCGGAGCCGAAGCCCGTCGAGATCTGACCACATTTTCAAGGATCACCCTGGAGGCTGCCTAGCCAAGCACGGGACCCACCCACAGGGGCCAGCCTACGAGCAGTGAAGGCAACCACATGGGGAGAAAGGCAACCAGCACAGGCCCTGGCACGCAGTGGGCTCCATAAATGTACTTACAGCTAACAGGAGGAGGGAGGGCTGGGGAGGGGGAAACCAGCCAAGGCCTCGCTCTCTGAGCTGGAGTCTGACAGAGCAGATTTGGAACATTGGCCTCTCTGATGAGCATGTTCAGACACAACGGTCAGCTGTCTCACTGCAGATGACACACAGACACGCGCCTGGAACCCTGCCAGTTGCCGGCGAATCTCACTCAACCTTCCATTTCCCTGGCGCCCTGCGGATATGATCCACTTCCATTAGTAACAGCAGCTCCCTAGAGCCAACGTGGTGGGTGGGGCGGGCGGGGGCCTAGAGGCTAAAGGGTCCAGGCCCTGGCTGGAGGCCACTCCTTCTGGACAGCAACAAAGGGCTCTTATTAACCTCAAACAAAGGTCTTTGAATATGGAGCAGCACTGACCAACTGAATATTCAGCAACTGTAGGGTCAGGGACCAAGGGCGGGAGCTGGAGCCTGGGTTGGCTTGTCACCCACTAGCCGGGCCACCCCGGGCGAGACAAGGATGGTCTCTGGGTCCCATGTTTCTCGTCTCAGGAATGGGGTATATAATACCACGGACCTCATCAGCGTGATCATGAGGGTGGCGTTACAAACAAAACCAATAATATTAGCTAGGATTTACTGAGCACTTACCTTGTGCCAGGCTATTTGAGGTACTCAGTACGCGTCACCACACTTAATACTCTGAACTACTCTTTAAATAGAATCATCCCAAATAAATAAATAAATAAATAAATAAATAAATAGAATCATCCCATTTTATGGATGAAGAAACTGAGGTTTCGAGAGGTGAAGGGCCTTGCCCACTCACCCAGCTAGTAAGTGTTGGAATGAGGACCCTATCATGGGTCTTCCAAATGCCAAAGCTGAAGTCCTCAGCATGAAATGATTCGGTGGGCCATGGATTTGAAAGTGCTTTGTGAACACTAAAGATAGAAATTATTTCACTGTTCCTCCATATACTCCTATTCATGTTCCATAACAACAGTCCCTGGTGGAAAACTGTAGTTTCAAAATGGCCATCATCGAAGAGCAATGATTTTTCCTCTTCAGATGTTCTTGGGAAGTGCTTCATCTTCAAATAGAGAAAAAAAATCACAAGCATACCTTTGAACACAGGCATCATTATTTCTATCACAAAGATCCACCTCCGCTCATTTTCATCCACCACACATCTGTCAAAGCATGATATCACCTGATTTCCCACGCCAATCTGCAGTGGGAGCCAGGGAAGGCTTCACGGCCCCGGCTTTTCAACAGGGAAACTGGGGCCCAGAGAAATGGCGGCTTGCCCCAGGCTTTGCTGTCAAGACAGACTCCCGGTTCTATCTTCTTAGAAAGACAGGTTGCATCATCTCTCAGAGTCTTGCTTTTCTCATCCTTAGAGAATAAGAATGTCTCATTATAGTTACTGTCAGATGTTCTCCCGAGTGGGTCCAGCTGAGATTGTTGTCAGCATGGCCAATGAAGTCCTGTGGTCAGTGTGTGGGCTGCCTGTTGGCCATTTGCATGGGAGGCAGGAGCGTTTTTGAGACACTGGGGGGCCTCCATCTAGGAATGTCTAGAATCTGTTGGCCACTGGAGCTGGATTTCAGCAATTAGGAGATTATTATTTAGGTGGGAGGATGACTGGGTAATTACAGGAGATGCGGGGGCAGGGGTGGGCATTAAGTACTTCTGATATCTGGCATTCTTCCAGGTTAAAGACAAAGTTAGTCTCTCTGAGACTTAAAGCAGTGTCTTGCTCATGGAGAGCCCTCCATCTGAAGGATGAATGAATGAATGGGCAGAGGGGAAACCTGGAGAGCATCCTTAGGTCCCAACTTTCTTGGTAGCTCTTTCCACAGGTCACGAGATCCTATCCATAGGCACGAACA